AAAGGAATAGGACAGAACAGAACAGAACAGAACAGAACAGAATAGACTACCATCCAATTTCTGAGCCCGCCATTTTAATAGGTAAGACTCAGGTTCCAAGGCAGAGGTGGGGAAGTACGGTCCCTTTCATGACTTGTGGACTTCAACGCCCAGAATTCCTGAGCCAACCTGGCTGGCTCAGGAATTCTGGGATTTGAAGTCCACAAGTCATAAAAGCGACATGGTTCCCCCTCCGTGCGGTAGAGAAAGGATACTCCTATAAATAGCAAAGCTCAGAAAATGGTTATGAGCGCCAAGAGGCCATAGAGTAAGCCACAAGGATAGGCCACCAGAACCTGTTGCCCTTCCATAGCCAAGGTGGAAGCGAAGATTTTGGAGGCTGAGAGGCTGCACCATCCAATAATGATCAGAGCAATCAGAGTCCCAGGGATTCCCCTGAAATAACACAAAGAATCCAGGTGATGTCAGCCGCAAAGAACAGGGACCACACCTTACGTTCCAGTTAAGAAGATTTGTTGTCCAAGCCTGTACAAAAATCTACTCAACTCATGGCCACTGAACCACTTAGCTTCTACTTCCATTGACCGACTGCAAGGAGGTTATGAAATGAGCAACTAGGTAACATCATCTGTGCTAGTCTGGGTCATGAAACGTCTGCAAGAAAACAAGCAAGCTCAGAGAGCACCAAGGACCCCATAGTCATTGTCCTCCTCCTCCTCTTCCTCCTTCTTCTCCTCCTCCTCCTCCTCCTCCTCCTTCTTCTCCTCCCTATCCCATCTTCCTCCTTTCTGCAAATCCCATTCCCTCCTAGCACTGATGATGTTATCTAGTTGGGTCATGAAACATCTGCAAGAAAACCACCAAGCTCAGGGAGCACCAAGGACCCTACAGATTTCCTCCTCCCCCTCCTCCTCCTCCTCCTCCTCCTCCTCCTCCTCTCCAGAAACCCCCCCCCCAGCCTTCTACCACTGATGATGTTACCTAGTTGGGTCATGAGACGTCTGCAAGAAAACCACCAAGCTCAGAGAGCAACGAGGACCTAAGAGTCCCTTTCTTCTCCTCCTCCTCCTCCTTCTCCTCCTCCTCCTCCTCCTCCTCCTCCATCATCATAAATCCTACTTTCTTATGATGATGTTCCCTAGTTGGGTCATGAAACATCTCCAAGAAAACCACCAAGCTCCGAGAGCAACAGGGACCCCACAGTCCTTTTCTTCTTCTNTCCTCCTCCTCCTCCTCCTCCTCCTCCTCCTCCTCCCCCTCCTCTCCAGAAACCCCCCCTGCCTTCTAGCACTGATGATGTTACCTAGTTGGGTCATGAAACGTCTGCAAGAAAACCACCAAGCTCAGAGAGCACCATTTCAACCCTGAGCTATAAATATTCTCCTTGGTTGAAAGAGGCATGGATGCTCCTTCTTTCCCTTCACACATACTTACTGTAAGGAGAAAAATACTGCACAGGTGGATAAGATCACCATGGGCAACAGACTGTAGCCTAGCACACTTGCGACACACCCATGGGAAACCCCTACGATGCTCATCAGGTTCAACAGCGCGTGGATCGCCAGGCAGCCAATCACACTGGTGCCGTACACGTAGCCGAAATGGACTTTTCCTGCCTACAGAAATGAACAAAGAGAAGAGCAGGCCAGCGACCAAAGGCGGTTGGCTTAGGCAAGAGAGGTTATCATACTTTTCCATACAGGTAGAACTCAACTTACGGCCACAACTGAGCGCAAGATTTCCACTGTTAAGTGAGACGTGATAGCAGTGTTCCGATATCAGAGGGGCTACCACAAAGAACAAGGGGTCACGTTATTCTCCAAAGCACCAGAGGGAAGGACGAGAAACAATGATTGGAGACTGATCAAGGAGAGAAGCAACCTGAAATTAAGGAGAAACTTCCTGACAGTGAGGACAATCAACCAGTGGAACAGCTTGCCACCAGAAATCGTGGGCGCTCCATCACTGGAGATTTTTAAGAGGAGACTGGACACTTACGTGTCTGAGATGGTATAGGTTCTCCTGATTGAGCGGGGGGCTGGATCAGAAGACCTCCAAGGTCCCTTCCAGCTTCTATTCTATTCTATTCTATTCTATTCTATTCTATTCTATTCTATTCTATTCTATTCTATTCTATTTTATTTTCTCTTCTCTTCTCTTCTCTACTCTACTCTACTCTACTCTATTCTATTTTCTATTCTATTCTATTCTATTCTCTACTCTACTCTACTCTACTCTATTCTATTTTCTATTCTATTCTATTCTATTCTCTACTCTACTCTACTCTACTCTATTCTATTTTCTATTCTATTCTATTCTCTACTCTACTCTACTCTACTCTACTCTATTCTATTTTCTATTCTATTCCATTTTCTATTCTATTCTATTCTATCCCATTCCATTCCATTCCATTCCATTCCATTCCATTCTATTCTATTGGCAAATCAGGTGACCATGGGGAAGCCACAATATCATAAGTGTGAAAAACGGTCATAAGTCACTTTTTTCAGTGCCAGTGTAACTTTGAACGGTCACTAAATGAACTGTTGTTAAGTCTGGCATGTTATTGGTGTGTGACATCGTTTGTGTCCCAGATGCCTATCTGCTTCCTCTGCGGTCATTAAACTTTTTCAGTAGATTTAGCATTTTCAATTTGGCCCTAAAGAGGCGACCCACCACATTTTCTGCCGGCGCTGTACAGGACACAACGCCAGCAGCAACCAGCCAACATTTTAACTTGTTTGTTCCAGCATGTTTGATTAAATTGACAAAGCAGCATTTAGCGGCTTAATCTAAGATTAACAAATTGCTATGCCAGGGGCAGAAAGATGGCAAGCTGGTGGCTTGTTTTGATATAGTGCTTGATGGAGAACATTGCAAACAAAGGAGGTGAAACTGGAACAGATCCAGTCAAAAGATCATAACAGATCTCCTTTTAGTTTCACTGGAATCTTGTTTTAAATGACAGCGGGAATAGACTCTGAAGAAAAATCCACGGAATTGAAGCTATAGGCATCTCGTTGAATTTCTCTCTCTCTTTCTCTCTCTCTCTTTTGGATTTTTGGATTGCTGCAGTTGTGTGACTCGAAGCAACCATGAAACAAGAACATGCTAAATTTTTTGGCCAGGAATTGTCATTCGTGACCTAATCCCCAGATAGTCACTCTTGTGTAAAAAAGTCCTCAATCCTGCTTTGAACTAAAATATAGCAAAGATGTCACAGCCTTTTATTTATTTTTTTAGATGGGTGTTAAACGTTGCCAGATACGGATCCATAAAGTCATCAGCTTTTCTTCAAATTGTTGGATGCATTCTTTTTTAAAAAAAACAAGTTTTATTAATTTTTCAATTTTACAAAAATCCAAATATTAAGGAAGCAGCGTGGTGATTAGATAATCAATAGTCCAATAACAAGATCTTTTATACTGTCTCAGGTTACATCATCAAAAATTCCCTCTCTATTTCCCTTGATTATTATATCACATTCAAATTAATACATTGCTAATTATAACTCGATCAGTTAAGACATTTATCAATATATTTTAACTTATACCTATCCATATCCTGTTTTTAAAGTTTACCTAATTTCAATTACGGTGTTCCAGTTTAGCTTAATATCCATAGTAGTTAGATTTCGGGTGACCCAAATTTCCCTTATTTCATTACAAAATAGTTGTCATATCTAAAATACACACATTGTTTACTTAAATAGATTCTTACTTTATTTCACAAATATATTCTATTTCTCATCCTAGTACCTCATCATTGTTGGATGCATTCTGACACCACCCCCCACCCCACCCCCGTTTATTAATACACCCACTAGTCAAATTGTCTGATCTTTCATCCGTTTGACACAATACAAGGCAGAGCTCATGATTGCTTTAATCGTATCTTAATGCATTAATCCTTGCTATCCTCCGATTAGTGCATCAAGGAAATAGTGAGTGAAAAGCAGGATGCAAAGTGACCAAATATATAAAAACTGCATCCCACTTACCTTTTCAGATTGTAGGCACTGTCTCTAAGTAAAAGCTCCGGTCCTACGCAGGATCCTAATCCACAGTGCACCTATTTTCATTTAAATCAACCCCCCCCCTTTTGAAACTTAGTAATGTCGGAGTACAATATTTCCAATAAGTTCCAAGATTGATGCTTTCAATTAACAAAGCAGAGGGCAAGGAAGGAATAACCAAATAACCGAGTTGGAAGGGACCTTGGAGGTCTTCTAGTCCAACCCCCTATTCAAGCAGGAGACCCTACACTATTTCAGGTAAATGGTTGCCCAATTTCTTTTTAAAAGCCTCCAGTGTTGGAGCACCTACAGCTTCTGAAGACAAGCTGTTCCTCTGATTAATTGTTCTCGCTGTTAGGAACTTTCTTCTTAGTTCTAGGCTTCTTCTCTCCTTGATTGGTTTCTAACTGTTGCTTCTTGTCCTGCCTTCAGGGGCTTTGAAGAATAGGTGGACCCCTCTTCTTTGAGGCAGCCCCTGAGATATTGTAAGACTGCTATCCTGTCCCCCCCTCGTCCTTCTCTTCATTAAAGTAGACATACCCAATTCTAGCAACCGTTCTTTATATGTTTCAGCCTCCAGTCCCCTGATCATCTTTGTTGCTCTTCTCTGCACTCTTTCTAAAGCAAGGGTCTTCAAACATGGCCCTTTTATGACTCGTGGACTTCAACTCCCAGAATTCCTCAGTCAGCGTGCCTGGATGAGGAATTCTGGGAATTGAAGTCCACAAGTCATCAAAGGGCCAAGTTTGAAGACCCCCTGTTCTAGAGTCTCAACATCTTTTTTTATATCGTGGAGACCAAAACTGGATGCAATATTACAAATGTGGTCTTACCGAGGCATTATAAAGTGGAAGGAATCCCCCGACATTACTTATAAAAAAATCTGGACATTTTTTTTAAAAGTATCTCAGGCCGGCCATAATATTGGAGTCAATGATTGACAGATAAGTTCACTTAGAGCAGAGAAGTCTAGCCTACCAAGAGCCACGTTGATCCCAGGGCGAAGCAGAAAACCAAAGGCCCAGCCAGATCTGTCTCGTTCATAATGCTGGCTTCAGCCACCTTCATGGGGTTCAGCACGGTCAATGTTTTCTGCCAAATATGGTTGAAGTTGATTCCCAGCTCTGCAAGAGAAAAACGGGGGCGAAAAAGCTTCGTTATGTAAGGGGAAACCCTTGTGCAGGGGCCTTCAAACTTGGCCCTTTGATGACTTGTGGACTTCCACTCCCAGAATTCCTCATCCAGGCACTCTGGCTGAGGAATTCTGGGAGTTGAAGTCCCACAAGTCATCAAAGGGCCAAGTTTGAAAACCCCTGTCTTAAATCTAACAAACAAAATGGAGGCTGGTTGAGGAATTCTGGGAGTTGAAGTCCACAAGTCATCAAAGGACCAAGTTTGAAGACTCCTGGCTTCAATCTAACAAACAAAATGGAGGCTGGCTGAGGAATTCTGGGAGTTGAAGTCCCACAAGTCATAAAAGGGCCAAGTTTGAAAACCCCTGTCTTAAATCTAACAAACAAAATGGAGGCTGGCTGAGGAATTCTGGGAGTTGAAGTCCACAAGTCATCAAAGGGCCAAGTTTGAAGACCCCTGCCCTTGTGTAATGGTTCGTCAAGGACCTTGAGAAACAAAAGAAGGAAAGAGTCAGTTTCGCTGTGATGTTCTAGGGGCTCATAAGACAATCGAACATCTTGATTTGGTCTCCAACTAGGACAGGTGGGATTCTAAATTATGAACGTGAAAATCCATGTCAAAGGAGGACAGAAAAAACTATGCAAAAACAATGAACTACGCTATAGGATTACCATAACTCAGGGGTCTTCAATCTTGGCCCTTTCATGACTTGTGGACTTCAACTCCCAGAATTCCTCAGCCAGCATGTCTGGCTGAGGAATTCTGGGAGCTGAAGTCCACAAGTCATAAAAGGGCCAAGTTTGAAGACTCCTGCCATAACTGCAAAACCATGACACATCAACAAAGAGTTTGATCTAATGCAGGGGTCCCCAACCTTGGCAGCTTTAAGACTTTTGGACTTCGACTCCCAGAATTCCCCAGTTGGCCATGCCAGCTGAGGCATTCTGGGAGTTGAAAACAGAAGCTAAAACAAATATCCAGTGTGGAACTTAAAACATTATGAATATTTTTACTTCTCACCAGGCAACTGCATATGCAGTGAGTCTCTTGGTGCTTTATTCGCTTATAAATTCTCTTAAACAGAATGAAGAAATAGAAATACAAAGGCTTGTTAAAATACAAATCAATCCTAGACTTCAGATTAACAATTTATCTTTATAGCCAAGATAAATGTATATTAAACCACCAAGAATACTTCCTAGGGATCACTGCAGTGAGATAGATAAAAAAAAAATACATACTTTAGCATGATTTGTAAATCCAATTAATATTTCTTTTGCTTAACATGACCACGTATTCTATTAATTTTCTTCAAGGACGTTGGTCTTAGGTTTTGGCTAAAAAAGACTAAAAGATATTAACTCTTTTTTTCTCTTCTAGGGAATTGTAAAGATAAAAAGGGTGTAGATCACGAAACGCTGCCCGAATATTATAAACCAAGCAGTACAGTTTGTACATCTTTTTACTTGTAAGTTACGTCATCGAAGGAAAGTTACTCTGAAGTTAAATCAGGGTATGATTGCACTGGTATCTCAAGTAGAGAATTTGTACATGGGATTTTAAGCTCTTTCAAATATTAGATGTTAAACCTAGTGGTTGTGTAGCAGATTCACTGAGACTCACAGGAACTTTTGCAAGTTTTGGAATAATGGACCGCTAAAAAAGAACCCATAAAAATGTATTATGAAATATGTAAACAAAATTATAAGAAGTGTTTATTAATTATAGGTATCATAGCATGATATCTGATTCTGCCAGATAAATACAGAGGGAAAGGCAATGTTTACGAAATCCGAATGCAAAATTTATTGAGAGGCTGTCATGTAGAGGCAGTAAAGTGTACGATGTATGTGCCATAAATATGACTTAATGACTTGATTTTCCACACAAATGGGGGTTGCTGTCATTTCAAACATAAACATGTGTCCCTGTGACAAATGCAAGGCAACAAATTAAAATGGATTCTCTCCCCCCCCCCTTTTTTTTTTTCTTTTTTGATCTGGCATCTTCGGACTGAACCTCATTTTAAACATATTTTACCTTGAAAGCTGACCCTGTTAAGATCAAGCTAGTTGCAACCTCATTGTCTCAAAAAGAAAGATGTAAATGTAGATCATTTGGTGATCTTGTGGGCTTCTCACCTTGACAAATCAGAACTTGCTCATTCGACATAAATGAATTTTATTCTCAGGACTTGGGGATGGCCAGTCTAGAGAAAAGAAGGGCTAGGGGGGACATGATAGTAATATTCCAGTATTTGAGGGGCTGCCACAAAGAAGAGGGGGGTCAACTTGTTTTCCAAAGCACCGGAAGGCAGGACAAGAAGCAACGGATGGAAACTAATCAAGGAGAGAAGCAACCTGGAACTAAGGAGAAACTTCCTAACAGTGAGGACAATTAACCAGTAGAACAGCTTGCCTCCAGAAGTTATGGGTGCTCCATCACTGGGGGTTTTTCAGAAGAGATTGGACAGTTACTTGTCTGGAATGGTATAGGGTCTCCTGCTTGAGCAGGGGGTTGGACTAGATGACCTCCGAGGTCCCTTCCAGCTCTATTCTGGCAGGTTGTACGTAGAAGCTAAGATGATGGGCTGACACCAGGAAGACCCAATGTCTCCTCCACTCTTTGCCATGGAGGCTGACCGGGTGATTTTGGGCTAGTAACTCTCGGTAGCCCATTCTGTATCATGAGGCCATTTTCTATTGTGGGAAAAATTAGGAGGATTTGCTATCTTGAGCAGATTAGTTTTGGCCTAGTTGTCGCCCTTTCCAATTCTACAGTTCTATGATCCTGAGATCCTGAAGGAAAGGTGAGATATCAGTCCAAGAAATAAATATGTCGATCTTCAGTAACAGTTCAGCAAAATGAAGACCTTACGGACTTTATAGAATTCATGGTATTAGTGAACATTAAACATTACCAAGTAGGGAGAATGTGTTGGTGGGGCGGGAAAAAAGGAAGATAAGTAAATTATTTGGTAGTTTCGAATCCGTGAGAAGCTGCCATCAGGCAGAACGTACCAATTGTATAATTGTTTTGATTCTGTACCTTCAAGCAACGGAGGCTCTTCATCAAAACTGTCGGAGTAAGTATGGATGGACGGAAACTGAGAAGCATCTGCTGGTTGAAAGATCTGGCCTTCAAGTGGTTGAGAAGGATTGGCCTCAGAGTGTGGCCAAGGACCTGTCGGGAATCTGGGACGAAGAAACATTTATATGACGGTGAAGATTCAGTGAAGGTTATTTAGACATGGGGCATCCAACCTTGGCCCCCTTAAGACTTGTGGACTTCAACTCCCAGAATTCCCCAGCCAGTTGAAGCCCACAAGTGGCCAAGAGTGGACACCCATGCTTTCGACCAGGGATTCTCAATCTTTCCTTCACCATGGACCACCTTTAAATACTTTTTAGAATAGAACACTCCAAGGTCCCTTCCAGCTCTATTCTGAACTGAATTGAATTAAAAAAATATAAAAGCAATTAAAAAACTCCAACATCCCCCCAAAATAAAAAATAATGAAGCACTGATGAATAAAAATAGTAAAACAAAACCAAACCAAAACAGACTTTGGACTTTGATGCAAATACTTTGGGAAGAGTCCATTTTAAGCCTCTAGGAAGTTACAAAGGTGGGAAGGAAAGATTACAGAATCTCAGGTGCAAGAATGTTCCATAAAGCAGGGGCAACTATTGAGAAGTGCACATCCTTGGTCCTACCAGGTGGTCCTACTAGTGACCTGGAACATATTCACCCTATCCAGTTTGCTGGAATTGGGCAGATACCTTCTGTAGAAGAGGAGCAGACTGAGCTGGAAGATGGAATTAAATGGGTCATTTGTTTGGAGTCATCGCATTGCCACAAGAGATCCCTAGATAAGGAATTTACAGTGGGTGGGACAAGAGACCCAAGTCCCGCCCACTGTAAATTCCTTATCTAGGGCCAATTTAGCTTTGACCATTAGCTGACCAGATTCTTACGTATAAGTAGCAATAATAAATAATAATAATTCTGTGCTCTGAACCCAGCAGATATTCCTGGTTATTTGCACTTGACGCCTTCAGAAATATTCTCTTTCCTAGATAATTTGAGACTCCTAATAGTCTTATTTTTCCTATCCTAATTAGGCAAACCATGATCATAACATATCAGAGAATATTACAGTACTTTCTAGGTCAAGTAATTCTAAACCTGGCCTTCTACAGATTAAGGAAGATATAATTACTCAAATATTTCATATTTAAAATTAAAGGTTAACTGATCTCTGGTAACAAAGATATCAAATGCGAACATAGTAATATCAAATGCCATGGGTAATATGTGTGGAAAGCAAAGGTTAAACCTTCAAAATCTCATTTTTTTCTCCTCAAGCTCCTTAGCAACATGATCCACAATTTGTGGAAAAGCTTAATATTTTTAGCAAAACTAGAATGACAATGAATGAAAGTCAGCCTTTTATGCTTTCACACACGTATCTGAATTCAGTTCCTTTTCATACTTTGTTCAGTTTATTTATGTTTAAAGTTCTGTATTTTCAAGGTGAAATAGAACCGAATAACAGAGTTGGAAGGGACCTTGGAGGTCTTCTAGTCCAGCCCTCTGCTCATGAAGGAAACCTTATACCATTTCAGACAAATGGTTGTCCAATCTCTTCTTAAAAACATCCAGTGTTGGAGCACCCACAACTTCTGGAGGCAGGTTGTTCCACTGATTAATTGTTCTAACTGTCAGGAAGTTTCTCCTTAGTTTTAGGTTGCTTCTCTCCTTGATTAGTTTCCATCCATGGCTTCTTGTCCTGCCTTCAGGGGCTTTGGAGAAGAGCTTGACTCCCTCTCCTTTGGGGCAGCCCCTGAGATACTGGAACACTGCTAACATGTCTCTCCTACTCCTTCTTTTCATTAAACTAGGCATACCCAATTCCTGCAACTGTTCCTTATATGTCAGTGATGGCAAACCTTTTAGAGACTGAGTGCCCAAACTGCAACCCAAAACCCACGTATGCATCGTCGAGTGCCAGGTGGGTGTGGCCCATTGGCTGGGTGTGGCCCATTGGGTAGGCGTGGCCAATTGGGTGGGCATGGCTGCAGTGGTAACGGCAGACTGGGTGGGACTAAAAAGTTCAATCAATCAATTCCAACTTTGCAAGGACTTTTTTTTTCCTGCGAGAAGTTGAAATTGACTGATTGAACCTTTTTTTTTTTGCACATGGCGGTGGAGGCCTAAAGCAAAAAGGTTTTATAAAACCCAGCTGAAGGCCTAGGACTGGGGCGACGACATGCGTGCCCACAGAGAGGGCTCTGAGTGCCGCCTCTGGCACCCGTGCCATAGGTTCGCCACCACTGTTATATGTTTTAGCCTCCAGTCCCCTGATCACCTTGGTTGCTCTTCTCTGCAGTCTTCCTTCCTTCCTTCCTTCCTTCCTTCCTTCCTTCTCCCTCTCTTTCCTAGAGATGGAGGAAGGTAAATGGGCTACATCATTTTATTAGGGCAGCCAGCAAACAAACTCTGCAAGGTCCTAAATACTGGGCTGTTTGCCTTGATGTCTTCCTTTAACTTCCTTTAAATAAGTACTACTGTATAAAGTGTTCAGCTGTGAAAACAACTAGAGGTTCGATTATGTAAATTACAAAAATATACTATGTTTAGTTGCAGATTTAACACCATGCTAAAATGAAATAATATATATATATATATATTCTCACTTTTTTCCAGGGTCTCCAGGCCTGCTTGAGCTTTCCTCTTGATTGTCAGCAACGTAGTTTGACTGGTAAAAATCTATATCGAACTGCAGAAAGTCTGACATCCTAATAAGATTTTTTTTAAAAAAAATATGCTTATAAGCACTGAAGGCTTAAGTGTTTCACACATGTAAAAGTTTACAGAGCAGCCAAAATTAGCTATTCGGTTCATTTCGGTGTTGCTCTAGAAATATGACCATGACTTATGACCATTTTTCACTTTTTCGACCGTTGCAGCATCCCCGTGGTCACGTGATCCAAATTCAGAGGCTTGGCAACTGACTAGTACTTATGACGATTGCAGTGTGTCCCGGGGGTCACATGACCCCCTTTTGTGAACTTCTGACGAGCAACATCAATGGGGAAGCCAGATTCACTTAACAATCGTGTTACTCACTGATCAACTGCAGTGATTCAGTTAACAACTGTGGCAAGAAAAGTCGTAAAATGGGGCAAAACTCACTTAACAACACAAACTTTGGGCTCAATTGTGTTCATATTTATTTTCATACTTGTTTACCTGATTGCCTATAATCAGATTAATATGCTTCAATCCGGCCCCCATTTATTAAAAAAAACCATCTTATATAACAATTAGGCCCTGGAGCACTTTTATTTCTTGCTAATTAACAAATTGTGTTTCAAATCTAAACAGACTAACCTGCTTCAATTTTCCACCTTCATTTATTAAAAAAATATTTTATACAGCAGTGATTCTAGGCAGCAATTTTACTTCTTGCTAATTAGCAAAATGTGCTTCCAAATATAAAACAAACAAAACTGATTCATTTTTAATAAGAATAGTAAATTGGGGATTTTTTAATGGCGAATCTGACATTATCTATGAATTATGCACAAATATAATGATGAGCTGAAGTGTCACCGTTCCTAAAGCACCTCAGGATAATGTTTTAAAATTTAATCATGCTTTGAAATACCATTAATATTTCTTGGAAGTACCGAATCAAAACAAAAACAAGCCATCCACAAGTTTTGTTTCCCCTCATTTGACATGTATAAAAGCTATAAACAGTTGTGATTTATGAAACCAGCACCCTTAAAAATTAATATTTAAAGGACATACCTTAAAAACTGTAGCTGCAATTTTTCTACAAGAGATTCGGTTTACAAACAGCCAAATCCAGCCAAATGTTTCTCTATATTAACCAGGGTGATCCTGAGCTATTTATAACATCCTAAATTTGGCCTCCCAACAGATGTATGACAGAAAGAAAAGCATTTGGTGCCAGAGGCAACATTTCCAACAGGATTTACTTGGCAACTAATCGCCAATAAATGAAAGAGAAAGAAGACACCACATAATTTTTCAAAGATCAGTCATTTGTGCCCTTGAATCTAAAGGCCTGGTTATCTAAGCTGATAGAGAAGACACCAACAGATATTTTTAAACTTACACAAAAGAGGGAATACTTGATGGTTACGCGCTTCGGAGATGAAAATAACCAAAAAGTTGTATTTATAAATGTGCAATTATTTTGTCTATTCTCCAAAGCACCTGAATTTGCAGGACAAGAAACAACGGATGGAAACTAACCAAGGAGAGAAGCAACCTGGAATTAAGGAGGAATTTCCTGACAGTGAGAACAATTAACCAGTGGAACAGCTTGCCACCAGAGGTTGTGGGTGCTCCATCACTGGAGGTTTTCAAGAAGAGACTGGACAACCGTTTGTCTGAAATGATATGGGGTTTCCTGCCTGAGCAGGGGGTTGGACTAGAAGACCTCCAAGGTCCCTTCAACTCTGTTATTCTATTCTATTGTATTCTATTGTATTCTATTTTCTATTTTCTATTATTTTCTATTATTTTCTATTTTCTATTCCATTCCTATTTTCTATTCTATTCTATTCTATTCTATTCTATTCTATTCTATTCTATTCTATTCTATTCTATTCTATTCTATTCTAATTATATTATATTATATTATATATTCTGTTCTGTTCTGTTCCACTCTATATCTGTCTGTAGCCAAGAAAAAAATGTTAGAAAAGAGAGGCTCATATACAATTTAACATGGATTAAACAGGCCCACTTTGTAGACCTCAGTTTTAGGATAATTGATTATTGATTGTTTTTAATTATTCCTCATAGCTATTGTTTCAAAAGCTGATTTTTGCTCTCTTTTTGCTTTTCTCCGGAGTTCTTTCATAGGTATAACATAGGTAAATCTGAAGTAAAAAAAATTGTCCAAATCACTTTTTTGAGTTAAAATCCACATATCCAAGCCATTCTTTTGGTTTATTAGCTGTCTGTCCCCTTTTAACAATTGATACCTCAGCCAGTTTCATTTGTTGGTCTAGTATACAGATAGTCCTCGACTTACAGCCACAATGAAGCCCAAAATTTATGTCACTAAGTGAGACATTTGTTAAGTGAGTTTTGCCCCCATTTTGCGACTTTTCTTGCCACAGTCGTTAAGCAAATCACTGCAGTGGTTAAGTTAGTAACACGGTTGTTAAGTGAATCCAGCTTCCCCATTGACTTTGCTTGTCAGAAGGTCGCAAAAGGGGATCACGTGACCCTGGGACACTGCAACCGTCATAAGTACATGCCAGTTTCCAAGCGTCTGAATTTCGATCACGTGATGCCGAAACAGTTGGGCGAAAAATGGCCAGAAATCTCTTTTTTTTTTCAGTTCTAAACGGACTGTTGTAAGTTGAGGACCACCTGGACAGAGATTTTTCCAGTGCTCTCCCTCCCTAGCTTTTCCAGACAAGTAAGGCAAATAGTTTTTTTACTTAATTTCACAAGGTAAAAATGATATCGCCATTTTATTTTATGAAACGTTTTGATCCCTCGAAAAAAAGAATGTCATCTTTCCATTTGCTATCTAGCACTAAACATCTGCCTCGTGGGAGCTTCGAAGCAATCATTGAGTTTGGGCAGCAGGGTGGATACGGATTTAAATATAATTTCTTAAATGTGTTCAAGTGCATATTTAAAGGCCAGCATTTTACTGAGGACATGTTTGATTTCCTTCATGGGGTGAGTTTCCCCTGGCGCTGCAAAATTTCTAAAGGTGAAGCAGAAAAAGTGCCTTTGTCTTTGGGTCAAATAACCATAAGTCAGGATTTGTTAACGGCTGCTCTTCTATCTAATTAGCTAAGGAGTTTTTGGTGTTTCTTTCCAGCAATGCAGTGCTACCCAGATTTTTGCAGATAGGGCAGGTCTGAACTGTATATTGGTGACAAGGACAAGAAACAACAGATGGAAACTCATCAAGGAGAGAAGCAACCTGGAATAATAATAATAATACTACTAATAATAATAATAATAACAACAACAATAATGACTCAATAGGTAGACAAAATGCCAAATCCAGTCTGAACATCTGGCTGCCTGTGCGATGATAAATAATAATAATAATAATAATAATAATAATAATAATAATAATAATAATAATAATAATAATAATAATAATAATAATAATAATAATAATAATAATAAAAAAAATTGGAAGGGACCTTGGGGGTCATCTAGTCCAACCCCCTGCTCAGGCAGGAAACCCTATACCATTTCAGACAAATGGCTGTCCAGTCTCTTCTTAAAAACTTGGTCACAACCTCGTAAGTGGCGAAGACCTCCGTCCAACAAGGTGACCAATTAACAAGATTGACAGTCCTTCAAAGAGGAATCAAGGTCCAACGAAGAGAGGAACTAATCAAAGGTTCCGTTGCTTCTTGTCCTGCCTTCAGGCGCTTTGGAGAATAGCTTGACTCCCTCTTCTTTGGGGCAGCCCCTGAGATACTGGAATACTGCTATCGTGTCCCCCCTCGTCCTTCTCTTCATTAAACTAGACATCCCCAATTCCAGCAACCGTTCCTTATATGCTTTAGCCTCCAGTCCCTTGATCATCTTTGTTGCTCTTCTCTGCACTCTTTCTAGAGTCTCAACATCTTTTTTACATCGTGGTGACCAAAACTGGATGTCATATTCCAAGTGTGGCCTTACCAAGGCATTGTAAAGTGGTATTAACACTTCACGTGATCTTGATGCTATCCCTCTGTTAATGTAGAATTAAGGAGACATTGAGGACAATTAAGCAGTGGAACAGCTTGCCACCAGAAGTTGTGGGTGCTCCATCACTGGAGGTTTTTAAGAAGAGACTGAACAGCCATTTGTCTGAAGTGGTACAGGGTCTCCTGCTTGAGCAGTGGGTTGGACTAGAAGACCTCCAAGGTGCGTTCCAGCTCTATTCTGATTGATTGATTGATTGATTGATTGATTGATTGATTGATTAATATTCTGATTGACTGTGGTCAGTGGGAAAACCAAGGCAGCAAAAATTAAATTCAGGGGCTGCATAAAACTCAATGTTCCGGGATATGCTACCGCAACGCCCCTCCAAAAGGGGGAGAATAATTGTACACACCAGCTCAACAATTCTTCCATATTATTTTGTTCTGACCGGAGAGTGTTTATATGTTTTTGAATGGCTGAAAAACATAATGGGCTTTTCTTGCAGTCATTTTAAATGCAGGCAGGCTGTATTGTTCTTTAGCATTGCTACATCCAATTGGCCTTTTAGGAAAGCTTGTTAAAATGACAGACTATACTGTTTTGTTAACATCTCCGGTTATTCCGCTGTGCTGAAACTAATAGTTCTATTTGTAGAGGTTCAAAAAAAGCCGGCACGGGGTTCATTCATAAATCTATCCACTACCGGCTGCAATATTTCATCGCGTCCTGCACAAGCTTCATATTTTGCTGCGTGCACAACATTTTATTCTTCATCCTTCATATCGCAAACGCATCACCTTGCTTGACCCACGCCATGCCGGTACGGATTACAGCCGGTGGAGGGATTCAGCCAGTTCGCACCACTTCGGCAGAACCGGTAGCTAATTTTTTTGTGGCCCAGGCCCAGAACGGACTTCCGGAAGCGGCATCCACCCAGAGAACCGGTTGTTCACCTATTTGAATCCCACCACTGATTACAGCCATGAGTAAATCATGATTAAAATTACCTCACAGTTTTTTGCAGGGCTGTGGCTAAGCACCGAATTCAAATCAAGTCACTTACGTTGAACGTGGCAACTTTTTCAC